TTGTGTTTCTGGCTAAGAGATTAATGTGTCTTCTTTTCTATTTGGATATGATCACCTCTATTTCTTGCTTTCTTGACCTACATAGAAACTACACAATAGCAGGCATTTTTCACTAGCATGCATGGTAAGCTGTACATTTCTCATAAATGGTCTTTATCAGGTTTTAAGAGCCCCCTTCTCATTTTAGATTGCAGGGAGCTTTTAATCAGGAACACATTCAATTTGGTTCTATGCTGTTTCCTCATCACAGAGAGAACCATCTTTACTTTCAGACTGTTAACAAATTCATTCCATCATGGAAGTTTCTACTATTCACGGAGACTTGCATTACTAGGATAAATCATACTCAGAAGTGTTTTCCATTTGGTATATTATCGGATTCAATGTAGTACAATTTCTTTAAGCATTTTCAGCTGTGCTCAAGAAGGACATGGATTTAGCAGTTTTTGCCTGTTAACTCCCTGTCTTGTTTGGTCCTGAGGTAATGCTGTGCTCACAGAATGAGGTGAAAAAGAGATTGTGTAAAATTTTCATTATTCCTTCTTTATTATTTTCTGATTCATGATTTAAGTCCTTTGTAACTGGAGTGTCCTTGAGAGGATTTGAACTTCAAATCTAGTGTTTCAATAGAGTCAGAACTCTGTAATTTACCTATTATTGAGGGATCTTTTCTCTTCTTTGGTTAACAAATACTTGATCATTTTATCTAGTATGTTAAATATATGGGTGTAGGTTCTACATACTATTTGTTTATCTTCATTTTATTTATTTATTTATTTATTTATGTTTTTTTGCGGAACCAGGGATTAAACTCAGACCCTTGCACTTGCCAGGCAAGCACTTATTCTGCTGAGCCATCTCCCCAGCCCCTTATCTTCATTTTAATATCTAGAAATTCTGTTATGACACCATCACTATCATTCATAATACAGGTAATAGCATGCTGTCTTCACCTCTGTAGAGAGTTTTCAATTGAATTTTCTGAATGAAACACTTCCAAATTTTCACTTTCATCAATTCATTGATTTTAGATCATTAATTTCTGCTGTGATCTTATTACTTAATTTCCCCTACTTATTTTGAATTTAATATTGCTGACCTGGGATGTGACAAGTTATCATTTCGCTGAACTCAGGGCATCCTCACTCTAGAACTCTCTCCAGAGGTCTTCAAGGGTCAAAGATTCCAAGGAAGAGCTGTCAATCTCTACTGTCTCCTTTGTTAGCAGAACTTTACATTTCCCCAGGCATAGGCTGCACTTTCACCCCGTGAAGCTCAGTTGCAATTCCCATGGAAGGATATTAAGAAATGAGTAGGGGGGTAAACTTCCACAGACTTTTGAGCTCTGATGTCAGGAAGTGATCCACCAAGCCCAAGATAACTCATGGGTTAATGTGTTTTGAGAGCGGATCTTGCATGCAATCCAGTTTTTCTAGGTCTCTGTTGAGTTCTCAGTTTCTTGCCATGCAGTGCTTTAGAGCACTTTGGAGTGCTGGCTGCAAGAAAATTATCTCTAGGTGTAGCCCTTCAATCTTTGACAGAGGAGTGAGTCCATGGAATCCTGCCTCTTCATAGCTTTACTGGCTGTGGTGTGGTTTCACTAGCAAGAGAAGAGGGATGAGGCAGGGTGAATGGTACCACTCATGTGGAGGCCTCTGAGTGGTTCTAACACCAGATGACGTTGCCCTCCAGCCACAGTTGCGGCATGCACCTCTCTGCATCAGAAGTCGAGAAACTCAGCCCCAAGCAGAGGCTGCTTTCAGGTTGCAACATAGTCAGCCAGAGAGACGGTCTGCAGTCACGAGTCAGGTCCAGACTTATCAGGCTAATCAAGGGAGCCAGAGCAGCAGGCATGAGAAAGCAGAAGAAAGCCCTTCGTGAGTGTGGTGAGATCAGGGCTTCCCAGGGTCTGAGAAGACGTGGACCAAGGGCATGGGTCAGGGAAGCTCTGTCTGCCTATCTCCTCCCACATCATTGATTGTCTGCAGGTCTCTTCCTTTTTAGCTTACTTTAATCCTGGGCAGATTTACAACCCATCATAGAGCTGAGGAAGTAACGCATCGCCCACTCAGGTCAATGTCTGTTCTGCAATCCAACAGTGAAAGTGCAATTGCCCAATTAAAAAGTAAGCGGGAGCATTTACATATGCAATTCTGAGGAAAAGACATAAGAAAGTTCAGCAACACCACAAATGAGGCCCAGAGGCACCCACCAGAGACCAAGAGCTCAGCAGCACCGTGAGACAGCACATGACAACCGGAAGATGGCTGTGTGAGAAAGACCATGGAGGTGACTGAAATATATGGGGAGGCTTTAGATTCAATAGAAAATCTTGGTTCAGAGAACACATGATGGCAAGAACGCTGGCATGCAATTGTCCTCACTGGGGGGATATTTTGCACATTTTGAGCGTGGTCAAAGCAATGTATCTTTAACAGTAATAAATTCTTAAGTTAAGCACATACAGAGATTTTTATCAGAGCATGACATTCCTGATGGCAGTGTAAAGCTATGTGGTAGCTTGCCAAATACTTTTGGACATCTCTGGACAGTTACATACAGACTTACCACATGGCCCAGACATTCTGCTGTAGCTTTACAGAAAAGATAAGTAGAAGGAAACACAATGACATATAAAAGTACACATAAATAATTCATAACAGCATTATTCACAATAGACAAAAGATGGAAGTGATCCAAATGTAAGGCAATTCATAAAGAAGGAAAGTGAACACACACAACACACACACACACACCACAACACTACAGTGGATATTCTTCCTTTATAAATGTGAACAACTTCTGAAACGCTGTGCTGCCCAGCAAGAACGAACCCTGAAGACACTGGACACCTGTGATAAGGCCCCCAGGTGGATGTGGCCCCGATGGTGAACGTTCAGTGTGAGAAACGGGGGCAGAAATGTTGTTTTTATTCCATTGTTGTCTGATCTGAAGCTGTCAGTTCATATAAACTGTGGTCTTTTCTATCCACTCTTTATTCTGTGACCTAACTCTGGAATTTCAGGATATCTCTCTTGTCATTGTTACGTTGTGTATATTCTATTTTAATAAAATTTATTTTGGGGGATGTTTTTGTTTGTGTGTGTGTTTCATTTCTGCTAAGTGACGCACATTGAAAAGGTTCTCTACTTCTTGTATTGTGGGGTCCACCCAAGACAGGCACAGTGCTCAAGGGGCTTATAGGACCCCAGCAGGCCTCAATCCAAGTCAGGCTTCAGGAGCTTTCAGGCACCCGAGAAACCTGAAACCTGACAGAGAAACCACGGACAAAGCTTCCCGGCACTCCAAAGCTTCCCGTGTACAGTAGGCATCAGGACACCATGACAGAGGGGTACACTGGACCCCTCTTCAGAGTACATGAATGTGCAGATGGTGAAACAGTGGGAGTCTTGGTGCCTCAGGGAATGGCGCTGGCCCAGTCCCTGCACCTGTGTCTGCTCACAGAGGACAAGGTCACTGTCCTGACTCAGTGTCTAGCCAAAGCAGGAGGAGCACCATGCACACCCAGCATTCCGAATGCACAGGTCTGGGAAAGATGAGGGCCGGGCTTCTAGGAGCAGCAGCCTGGGTCTGTATGGGGGCTGCTCTTGAACTTTGAAAAGTGTGTGGGGGCTGCACTGGGCAAAAGCTTTAAAGTGATCAGCAGGGCTCCTTTGCCTGAAGGGGACAGGCCAGCCCAGTGCAGTTTCCATCTCTCCTTTGGCTTCCAACAGTAGGAAAACCAGGGTTCTAGTTCTCTTTGCCCATCTGCTTGTTGTTTTGTTCTTTGTTGTATTGCTATGAGTTGAACAGGGGCCCACGGTCTTGCTACAACTTAGCTCCATCTTGAAAATTTTGAGCAAAGGTCTCCCTAAATTTCCCAGGCTGCTCTCCAAGTCACCGTCCTCCTGGGACAGCCTCCCCCAGTGCTGTGATACCAAGCAGGCCCCCACTGGCTCTGGTTCTTGGGAGGTCCCTGACCTGCTTTCACTTTCAGTTTCAGCACTGAATTCTTCCCGCAGCAAGGTTTGGCTTCCTCTGGTGCAATAAGGATATCAGTACATCTTTTTCCCTGTGGGAATCCCGGTGGCCCATGGAGACAGGCCCCAGGGCAAAAGCAGGGACAGGAGCACAGGACAGCTCCACCCCTGCAGCCAGAAACACCCACAAGGCCTTGGCCACAAAACCCCCGGAGTCCCTGCAGATCCACAGCAAATTCCATGGTCCTGAGATCCATCAGGTGGGGTCAAGGCTCAGGCAGGGCAGCAGACTGCAGGAAGGTGAGATCTGGTGTGTTTGGCTGGGTGGGGACAGGCCAGGTTCTGATCCTGGGGATACAGCTACACCAGAAAGACAAGGGAGCAGCCAAGTGCTGCCTGCAGATCAAGCTCTGGAGCTGAGGGGTGCAGCGACCTGGTCCTGTGAGGCTGTCTTGGCCATTCTCCTCCCTGCTGTCTTCGCTGCAGCAGCCTCACCCTGGCTCCTCTTGCAGCTGGTCCACTCCCAAGTCTTTGTCCATGCCCAGGGACCCTACCGAGCCTATATTCCAGACACTCACCACAGCAAACCGAAGCCTTCTTCCTCTGGAACCTGGAAAAACTGTGGGATGGGGTTCCTGCCTCTGCTGCCTGCAGGCTTGACCATAGGCTCTGAGAGAGACTACACAGAAACAGAGAGGGCAGCTTTGTCACAAAGGTGGGAGGGAGGCAGCCTGTACTGCCATGGGATTCATGGGATTCAGGGGGCGTCTGGGGCGAGAGGGCAAAGCCCTTGAGGGTAAGCAGAGAGAGGGTCTGTGGCCTCAGAGGCTACTGCAAGGCATAGGAGAAATGGAGGGTGCAGAGAAGCAGGGAAGGACAGAGATCAGCACTGAAGGACAGCAGCTCTGTGGCTTGCCCAGGAAAGACCAAACCAAAGTTTCCACTCTTCAGAACAGCTGGCCATGGACAATTGGTTAGGTGCCTGACAAGGCCTTTTCCTCTTTACCTGTAGACTGCATCATGAACACACTGTCGGAAGCCAATGGCACCTTTGCCATCCAACTTTTAAAGCATCTGGGTCAGAAGGACCCAGTGCATAATGTCTTTCTCTCTCCTGTGAGCATCTCCTCAGCCTTGGGCATGGTCCTGCTGGGGGCCAAGGGCAACACAGCATCCCAGATAGTACAGGTAGGCTCTCCTCTCCTTGCATCCTTCTGTGACTTAAGGTTTTGTGCTTTGTGGTGGTTCTGGAGAGGCAGGGGATCTTCCCCAAATATTAACCCAGAAAAGATAAGAAATTTTTCTGGTATTTCACTTAGGAAAGAAGCAGACGCTGGGCTGGAGCAGTGGTGGGGAATTGCCTCTGGTTTGATCCCAGCACCACAGGAAAGAGAAGAAAAGTATGTTGGAATTCCTTGGTGCAAAAGTCATTGACAACTGTCTCCTTTTGGAGCTCAAGGCTTTGTAGCTGTAACTGCTCACTGCTGCCTTGCTGCTCAGTGAGGGGACAAGCAGAACAGGGCAGGGTGGACCTTGCTCAAGGCCGCCTTTCCTCTAGGGATCCATCTGCCTGTGGGCCACACCAAGGCTCATCAGAAAGGCCCTAGCTCCAGGCCCTAGCCCTAGGGGATCTCAGGCTTGGCAGGAGGCCTGTGCCTGAGCTCAAACCCCAAGGCTAGTCTTGGCATCTGCTGCCCTGGGACAGAGCATGGCACAAACTCTCTGCTAAGCTCTGTCTCTGTGTGACCAGCAGTGCCCAGATAACCATTTCTGTAATGCCACTCCTTTTCCATTGCCTCCCCTGTGGGAGGCCCTGAGATGGATGCCCAGAGGGGATGTTCCTTGGGATGCTTCTTAGGAACATCTGGGCTCTGAGCTTTCTGAGGAAGAGTGTGAGTAAAGGACACTGCACAAGTAAAGAGGCTCCCTGGAAGTCACAGGGCCTGACTGGGATCTCAGTAGCCAGGAGGCTGAGACAAGAGATCGCCATGAAATTGAGTCCAGTCAAGGTTCGTATACTTAGATCCTGGCTCAAAAATATGGTGGAAAACAAGTTCCTTGCAGAGGATTGTTCTGTGGAGTACTTATGAGAAAAAGTTTTTTTGTAAACTCTTTGTGAGACCAGTGGACTATATTGACAATGGGCATTCGTTTCTCTGACAGGCACTGGCATTAAACGCTGAGGAGGACATTCACGGTGGCTTCCAGTCGCTTCTCGCCCAAGTGCACAGGACTGGCGCTCCGTATTCCCTCATCATAGCCAACAGGCTCTTTGGAGAAGAGAGCTGCCAGTTCCTCTCAGTGAGTTGGGTCTGCACAACAGGGAAGTTGCTTTAAAATTCCTGATGGAGTTCCCAGAGCCCAGAGGGAGGATGCAGAAAACTTGAGGAACTGACAGGAAACTTAGTTTTCTGTGATGACCAGGCTCTCTAAGGAAGCCTTCCATGATTTCCCATGTGAAGACCTGAGGCGTTCCTTCATTCCTGTCCAGTTCTTCCATATATAGCACTCTCCACCGAGAAGCTGGTATTTGACATGGCTTAGACTCAGGGTGACATCGTGTAAGAGACACGTATGCCTCTCAGAGAGTTCAACTGTTCGTACTCCGAATGCCTGGCAGCTTGCTGAATTTCATGCAGCTCCGTGGCCTCACCCAGTGTGTCTCTGTCCACAGTCATTTCGGGAATCCTGTCAGAACTTCTACCAAGCCGAGCTGGAGCGGCTGCCTTTTGCCAAAGATTCATTGATCTGCAAGAGACACATCAATGCCTGGGTGTCCAGAAAGACTGAAGGTCAGCACTAGGGGCTCCCTCTGCTCTTCCCCGCTCCTCATCACCTTCTGCCTATTTGGTCCAGATCCTAATTCTTATCCAGATCGGACAATGACCTATTCTCCCTTGGGCTCCAGGAGCAGTGGTGGTTCAGGTGTCTGAACCATTCGCACACCTGAGCTATTTCTGCTCACAAATGGCGCGGCAGCAAATGGCATGGAGCTTTCCCTTTACAACTCAGCAGTTCTCTTCCCAAATCTTATGAAATGTTCACCACTTGTGCACTCTTCAAGCAGCAATTAGCACAGATGCTCTCAGTCCGTGAAAAGGGGCCGTCACCATCCAGGGCTGGAAGGGGGCTCTGGCAGGCCCTCCCTCTCTTCCCCAGGGAGGCCTAGTGCTCTGTCTGGAGGACCGGACAGCACAATCTCTTCACCTCCTCCCTTTTCCCCTCTGCTGTGTCCCTGACAGGGAGTCCTGCCTGCCAAGTGTTAGCTCACAGCGTGAGCACAGAGCCATAGCCTGAGATCACACCCCAAGGCTAGTCTTGGCATCTGCAGACCCCCCATTTAACCACTGAGGGTCTGCAGGTCTCACCTGGCACAACGCTCATTTCCTTCTGGCTCGGTCTCCAATCTGTCCCTTCTATTATCTGCTTTTCTTGAGTGACCCAAAAGCATGTCAACCCCTCCATTGCAGGGATGTTCCCCCAGCGTCCATGGTCATGAACACCAGGCCTAGCAGTTTTTCTTATTAGTTCATTACCATTCTAATTTAGCAGTCTGAATCCATCCTGTTTAAACCTGCCAGGACGATGTCCTACAGCTTGTTTATCACGGTGCTTAAAAGCAGTCACCGAAAGCTGCCTCTGCTTTTATCAACAGGCAAAGTTCAAAAGATGTTGACCGATGTTTCAATTGATGAGTTATGCAGGCTGTTTCTCATTAATGCTGTCTACTTCAAAGGAAGGTGGAAAGAACAGTTCAAGAAGTCAAGCACCAGCGAAATGACTTTCAAAATAAACCAGGTGGGCAGATGTTTAAATAAAATTCCTTGATAAAGTAATGGAAAGAAGATATTTTGTTTTGTGGGGGCATTAAGATGTGAAAAATTATTTGAAGCAATACATTTGTATATTGGTTTTTAAGCTCAGGAGAACAATATTATACGAGTAAGGGATATTTGGTGCTCGTAAGTTTTTCCATAAGTGGCTGCTTTTCCAGTCTGATAACTTTTCCTGTTTGGATTTGCTGCAACCTAGTCTGGAAAGTGAAGATTTTCCTGTAAGTCCACATTAGCTCGGGAGAGACAATAAGAAATGCATCACGAGACTGTGCTCAATGGATGGATCACGTGCAGGGCCAGGAAATGTGAAAACACAGATCTCTAAACAACTTGTTATTAACTTTAAAAAGTATTCATTGAAATTGTTGTTAGTTAATGTGCAAATTATTAATTCACTGTTTTCTAACTTCTGATATTAGAAGCTGTGGTAAAGACCTACACCCTGCTCTTTTTAAGTGTAATTCAACTACAATTAAAAGAATTTGACAAGTCCTACAATCACTTGAAAAACAGAAAACTCATTAGAAAGAAACTATTTGGTATATTTACACATGCTCAACTACCGTTCATGTTAAAATAGAAAGGACTGTACTTCATGATTCGTATATTTTCTTCATGGGACTTGGGGTCCTCTCAGAGCTAAACTGCAGCACGTGGAACATTTAGAGCTCCCCATTGGATGGTGCTGTCTAAAACAGCTCCCCAGGCTGCTCCACCCTCTGCCCACTCTCTGGCTTGTCATGCATGTGGGAAGTGCTGGCTGTGGTTTCCCCCAGTGTCACATACGGTACAAATACTGCTTCCTTCCTAGGTACTGCAGCACTGAGAAAGCTCCTCTGGGCAGTTTCCTTGCTCCTTGGAGAATCCCTGTGACATGTGTGTCCCTCTGCTCACCCCTCAGGAGAAGCGGAGGCCTGTGCAGATGATGTTCCAGGAAGGCATGTTTCCTTGGGCTCACGTGAGTGAGGTGGGGGCCCAGGTGCTGGAGCTGCCCTACGAGGGCCAGGAGCTGAGCATGATCCTGTTGCTTCCGGACAAAGGCGTGGACCTCAGCATGGTGAGTCAAGGGTCTTGGTGTGTATGTTTTCCATCCTGCCTGGAGCATCTGGTGATGTTCCTATGCCCTTTCCCACCGGAACCGCACTAACAAACACTCTTGCCCTTAGCTGTCCCTTTGTCCCATTCCTGGCCATGAACAGTCTTCTAAAGCCACGCAGAACCCCACATTGTCATGTCCAGCAATGTGCTGGGACGAGCAGCTGCTACCTGGGATGCTGAACGCAGCAACCATACTGGACTTAGGGACAGAGCTAAATAGAGGAGGCACCGCATTTCTTGGAAGAAGCAGAAGACAGGAAGCTGCCCCAGACGGGACAGCAAGCCTGGGAAGATTGATGCTTTTGTGGCTTATTGATGCTCTCTGGCTGCTTATGTGCCATTTTGGGGTTCCATTCCTAGCTGAACTTGTCACAATTTGATTGGCACCCTGGAGTGCCCTTGGATTAAAAGAGGCAATGCTGTCTATGTAAATATTCGGTTTAATAGACGTCGTCTGCCTTTCATGTGTCTGTTTGTCCATCCGAGGCCTTATCTCAAGGAAGAACAGCTGTTGGTAGGAGGGCCTGTGTAGAAATTCGGCTTCCAGGTACTAGGTGTTGTGTGTATCTCCTATAGTGACACAGAGACCCGACAGTGAGGACAACACCACAGCAAGTCCGCAGGTATGGGGACACACTGTGAGAACTGAGAGGAGCTGTCCAGGTGCTCTCGCAGGGAGCGGTAGGCGCAGGGCTGCATTGTGTAGAGGCCTGTGTGGTCCTGACTGGAAGATGTGAAAAAAGTCTAGTCTGCGGGGTAGCACTAACCCCGACCCCCTCGTCAGAGAAGATCCAACTGCTCCTGCGACCAGGAGCCGCCTTCCTCGCCACCCTTAGTGCATCTGAGCACCCCCATGGCCTGGTCCTGAGAGAATAGTTGCCGAGGCCCAGGGCGTCGGGCTTTCCTGCACTGGGTGACCAAAACTTGGGTGTCCTTGGGGGAACTCCAGGTCCCACCTTGGGAGTGAAAAAGCCTGCGTGGTGTGGAGCAGCTGTGTCCACTGGGCGTTGGGGTTGGACCGCTGTGGTCGCTGGAGTACAGCGAGTTTTCTGTATTGATCCAGGCCAACGTGCAATACCAACATGTCTGTGTCTACTGATGGTGTGGTAAGCACTTCACAGATTCCTGCTTCGGAACAAAAGACCCCGGTTAGACCAAAGCCATTACTTTTAAAGTTACTAAAGTCTGTTGGTGCCTCAAAAGACATTTATACTATGAAAGAGGTCATATTTTATCTTGGCCAGTATAGTATGGCTAAAAGATTGTATGATGAGAAACAGCAACATATCGTGTATTGTTCGAATGATCTTCTAGGAGATTTGTTTGGAGTTTCAAGCTTCTCTGTGAAAGAGCACAGGAAAATATATACCGTGATCTACAGAAACTTGATAGTACTCTATCAGCAGGAACCATCAGACTCTGGTACATCTATGAGTGAGGACACCTATCTCCCTGAAGAGGGGAGTGACCAAGAAGACCCTGAGTGAGATCTACAAGAAAGGAGTCCTTCATCTTCAGATTTGGTTCCTACACCATCTACCTCATCTAGGAGGAGAACAATTAGTGAGACAGAAGAAAGCTCAGATGAATGGTCTGGTGAATGATGAAGAAAACGCCACAAATCAGATAGTATTTCCCTTTCTTTTGATGCAAGCTTGGCTGTGTGTGTACTAAGGGAGATTCGTTGTGAAAGAAGTAATAGCAGGGACTCGACAGAGACTCCATCAAATCTGGACCTGGATGATGGTGTAAGTGAACATTCAGGTGATTGGTTGGATCAGGGTTCAGTTTCTGATCAATTCAGTGCAGAATTTAAAGTTGAGTCTCTTGATTCAGAAGGTTATAGTCTTAGTGCAGAAGCACAAGAACTCTCAGATGAAGATGATGAGGTATATCGAGCTACTGTGTTTAAGACAGGAGAAAGTGATACAGATTCATTTGAAGAAGATCCTGAAATTTCCTTAGCTGACTATTGGAAGTGTACTTTATGCCGTGAAATGAATCCTCCCCTTCCGTCACACTGCAACAGATGTTGGGCCCTTCGTGAGAACTGGCTTCCTGAACATAAAGGGAAGGATAAGGGAGGATCTCTGAAAAAAAAACCAGATAAAAAATTCAACACAGGCAGATGAGGGCTTGGGTGTACCTGATGGTAGAAAGACTTTGGCAAATGATTCTAGAGTCATTTGTTGAAGAAAGTAATGATAAATCCATATAAGCCTCCCTGTCACAAAAAGGTGAGGACTACTCTCAGCCATCAACTTCTGGTAGTATTATTAATAGCAGCCAAGAAGATGTTAAAGAGTTTGGGAAGGAAGAAACACAAGACAAAGAAGATAGCGTGGAATCTGGTTTTCCCCTTAATGCCATTGAACCTTGTGTGATTCGCCAAGGTCGACCTCAAAATGGTTACATTGTTCATGGCAAAACAGGACACCTTATGTCAAGTTTCACATGTGCAAAGAAGCTGAAGAAAAGAAATAAGCCCTGCCCAGTGTGCAGACAAGCAATTCAAATGATTGTGCTAACTTATTTCAACTAGCTGACATCCATAAAAGTATATAATTTTAACTTTAATTATATAAGCCTAAAAGTTTAGACAACACAGATTTTATAAACATCAAAGCAGAAAATACAAGGACATTGAAATATAATTTATTTAGGTGCCTTTTGTGTGAAAAGGAAAAATGTGGAAAGATTTAAACATCCAGGATGTAGACACTCTGAAACACCTATCCTTAGTTTCTCTCCTCCTTCAGAAACTCTTATTTATACTTGGTGCTATGTTATGTAGGTAAAAGTGGACCACTTATAATAATTCATAAGAATCTTCAGTGAAATTGTGAAAAGAACCAGAATTGCACATAATAATTGAGATTATAAATGGCAGCATATGTAATACATGTTATTCAACATTGAGCTTTGTAAATTAAATTTCATTTTACATGCTTGTGGGTTATTGAAGCAGTCTTGTTTAAATTTTTAGGTTTAATGTATGGTATTTATTGCTTTATCAATAAACAATTTATTGAACATTAAAAAAAAAAGTAAAGAAAGGAGCCCTCCCTGCAGCAGCTGTGTGGGCCCCATCCCTGGGAGTTCTCGGGCCTGGAGGACACTGTCCTTCCTCTGTGCCCATTGTGCCTGTGAGCTCCGCCCTCTGGTTGGTCTCTGATGTAAGTCCAGGGCTGTTCGTGCTATCTATGCTTTTACTGTGTGGTTTTGCTTCTTTTCTACTACTTGTCCTTTTAAATTTTCCAGGAACTTCCTCTAGGAAGCTCTAATTCTTTCTAGTCAGGACAGGCCAGGGAACCTGATGAGGCCATCAGAATGTTGGGTTCCTGCTGACGAGCCAGGGTATGCTCATCCTCAGCCTGCCCTGGTGGCTTACAGTGGCAGCCCCTTTGTTCTTTGCTCAGCAGTTATGGTTTTACTGCTCCAAATAAAAGCCTCCTTCAGAAACCCGACATCTCACCAAGCCCAGATACCCAGAGAGCACAGCCAGTCTTTGGGCCGTGGCTAGCAGTGGTGGCCAGGAGGTGCAGCCCCATCTGCTACCTCAGGAAGCTGCAGCTAAGGTGGCAGGGCAGAGGCTGGGTGCAGGACAAGCTGGAGACCTCCCAAGCTTCCAGGTAGCTGCAGGGACAATGAGTGACAATGGCACCATCTGCGTGCCTGACGAGGCTGGGCTGCCCCTGGTAGGGACTGTGGTGGCTGGGTACTGCGGTCTGAATGGTAAAATGTAATCCTTTTTTTTTTTTTTTTCAGGTGGAAAAAGCCCTCACTTTTGAGAAATTCCAAGCCTGGAGCAGTTCTGAGCACATGAAGAGTACCCAGGTGGAAGTTTCCCTTCCGAGATTTAAACTGCAAGAGGAATTCGACCTGGTCTCTGTGCTGCAGGCTCTCGGCGTAGTGGATGCCTTTCGTCCGGATAAGGCTGACCTGTCTGGCATATTGCCTGACAGTGGCCTGTGTCTGACCAGGGTCGTACACAAGAGTATGGTGGAGGTCAACGAAGAAGGCACGGAGGCTGCGGCAGCATTAGCTTGTAAGACTGTATGTTTTTATGGAGTGCGTGGGCCAGTGTTCTGCGCTGACCGCCCCTTCCTGTTCTTTATCAGGCACAACAGGACCAACATCCTGCTGTTCTGTGGCAAGTTCTCATCTCCATGAGGGGTGCATGCCTTGTGTATGCGAGCATTTCCCTCTCAGACCCCAAGCCCCATTTACCCGGTGGGCTCATTAGAAACGCACGTGCAGCCTTAGGCCAGCTGGGCACACACCTGCACCATCCGTCAGCGCAGGCGCACCTTGGATGTGCTCTGCTCTCCCCCCAGTGCCACCCCTGGGGCCACTGAACAAGAGCTACTGACAGCAGAGCTCCATGTTGAACGCAGTGGACAGCACACATCCCAGAGTGGAGCACACACAGGTGGCCCCGATGGCCGTAAACACCTCTTTCTTGCCCGTGCTCCTTAATGTAGTACCAGTGTGCTTCCTACCGCCTCCAACCCTATCACTCACTTGACTTACGCTTGTAAGTAGTAAACAAGGTCACTAGCCATTATTATTCTGGTGACAGTTTTCCTGTTCTTTGGAGTTTAAAAGAAGTGCACATTTTAATCTGACATTTCCTGCTCAGCTGTCTGTGCAGAGCGCTGCTTTAGACCCAGGGACAGCATTGGGCTTATTCAGCAGCTGCTGTTTGTCGTCTATGTCCAGCTCATAGCTTCTGTGGCAACCAGGGTGCCCTATTCAATGCCTTCTTGAAGGGCTGATGAGGTTCTTCAAGGGACTTGATTTCTCCATCTACAACTCCAGCAGTTAAAATCTATGCAGCACATTAAATTCATTTGAGATGTCATCTTTTCCCAGAAAAATTTCCTTTTCTCCTGAAACTGATGAGCAGTGAGAATACAAAGAGTGACATAACTGGGGTCCTCAAGACAGGCAATGGGATGTCGTCTCCACTGTCACTCCACCACTGAGTATACACAGTACTTTCCAAACACTCATATAGTTTAATATGCACTTAGTTCCTGCCAAAGTTTCCGTCCTCTCTTTCTTGCTTGGTTTGCCTCGACCATAATTCTGTACATCCTACAGAGGCCTTAGGTGGGTCCCTTCGCTGGACATTGGACAATGCAAAGTCCGTTTCCTGTAGACACCCAGTGTGTTCACAGCCACCTGCTCTTTCTCACCCCATGCCTTGCAGTTGCCTCCATCTTTCTCCCCTCCACCAACACTGCCAGCCTGCTTGTGAGCTGACAGCTGCCTCCTCCTCCAATCTTGCTTGCTCCGCCCTGTTTGAAGCCCTTTACTGCACCCACTTTTCCAACAAGCAGGCACAAACTCTCTGGAGAAGGGGACATTTTAATGCCATGGCATTATCTTCTTTACTTTAGGGCCCAGGGAAGCGGCATCTACCTCTCCCTTCTGACTGACTTCACTTTAGCATCTCTTTCAGATTTCAGCAGGGACAATGTTTCCTTTGGGAAACTCTGTTGATCCACTACACGTAGTGTTATGCTTTTCCAAAAAAAAAAAAAACGTGTGCCTGATCAGTCTGGACCTCAAACTCTGAAAGAATATGTGCTGGCAGGCAGCGTTAGTTTTGATCCCAGGTTGGGCTGTTCCCTGGGAAGCTATTGCCAGAAATCACTTCCTCCCCAGTCCTGGGGTAGAGTCACGGCAATTTCTCTGTATTTTGATAACTATCCCTGCACTGGCCTGGGAACAGCTGTGCTCAGGTCTGGCAGCTCACCTGCCAGAAACCTCAGTGTCTGATCCCCAAGGCTGACTTAGTTCTCCTTGGTGCTCTGACCAGGATCCAGTGTTTGCTCCCATCTGCTCCTACAAAAGCCCTATGTGAAGGGACCTATTTCTCATGGCTGACACCACACAAATACCTGACACCCGGGATGAATAAAGGAATGGTTTATTTATCTTGTGCTTTGTGCCAGTTTCAGCGCACACAGATGTGGTTCCAAGGCAGAGTCTCACATGGCAGAGGGCATCAGGGCATGGTTGCAGAAAAGGCAAAAGCAACAATGGCACTATGGAGGAGCAGCAGAGAGCAAGCCTCTTTGCTTTCATTGTCCTGTAGGCAGGGAACCTGCCCATGATGGGAATAGAACTCCAACCCATAATCCTAGCATTGGACCATGGATCAGTCACATAGAAATGCATGCCATGACACCCTGACACATTCCGGGGAGATCTAGACACAAACCATGTCCTGCTGCCCCTGTTCTCCAAAAGGCTCTTGTACCCCCCTTTATTCAAAAGTGATTTTCATCCATCTCTAAGAGTTGCCAAAATCCTCAGAGTTTCCGCATTGCTGAGAACTCCATGTTCCATGTGTCCTCCAAGATCTAAGATGAAAACTTAGCTGGGAGCCCCGTACAAACAAAAAGTGACATGCTTCCATCATGTAATTGCAGAAAATAAACATTACAATCCAAAAAAAAAAAAAAAGAGAGAGAATGCAAAAATTTGAATCAAAGCAACTCAAATGTTCACCATGGAAATCATTAAGGGCTGTAGTTCCCCATTTACAGTCTGCTGCATTCTGTGGAAAATTGTAAGCCCCACGTGTTTCTAGCCCTGCAGTACTTCTGGTGGTTGCTGTTCCCAAGGACGTTTTACTTGATCCTGCTCTGTTCCCCCTTGTAGCTTTCCTCAAACAATCCACATATTTGACCTTTCTAATTGTTCATAATTCTTACTGTACTTTTTGTATTATACACATACTTCACAAAGTGCACACACTGTCTACCCTCCGAGGCCTTTGAAATCTTGGTGCCAGCCTTTTATCCCAGAACTTCTGTATTTTCTATGCCCTTAAAACCAGTGCCACATGGAAGATGCCAAGGTCCACTGCCAACTTAAAGAGTATGAGGTTAGCTCCCCCAATCCCCAGCTGTAGGGACCAACTGCCAGGGCAGAGGGACACTCAACAAGACTTTGAGGTACATATTTTCTCATCACCTCCATTATGGAACAATGTGCAGCCTCCTCCATTCCAGAATGTCATGGTTTGTGTCTAGTTTGCCCCCCAAAGCCTCATGCAGTCAAGGGATGGGGACTTCGAGAGTTTAAGTTTAACTCATGATCCACTGGAATTATGGGGCTTAGTACTGCTGGGATTATGGTTGTGCATACTTACCCCAGCATGGGGCAGAGAGCCTGAATGTTACATAAGAGGGACAAAGCGGTAGACCCTTTTTATGTTGCCATTGTTGCTGCCTCTCCCTTTGGATCTCTTGCTCTTTGCTGCCATCAGGAACTGATGCCCTCTGTCCTGGGCCACTCTGCCTTGGAGCCAGCCACAAATGAACTGAAAGCTCCATTAACTGTGAGTTAGGTAAACATTTACTTCCTTCATTCTGAGAGTCAGGTATTTGTCCCAGCAGTGAGGGAAGGGTAACAGATACAGTACATATGGTTCTTTGGAATTTATTTTATTGTATCGTATTTTTTTTATTTTTTAATAGATTGCAAATTGAAAATAAATTATTTACAAACATAAATGAATATAACAATAAAAAACTGTCCAAAATAAAAATGAAGAAAGAAT